CGAGGATTTATATATATAATTGCCCCCAACAATCATTATTCGGTAGGCCTGAATTTAATAATATATAGTTCAGTTTATATAGATCCCTAGTGATTGATCATTAAAATTATTTCGATATACTGCACCGTAGATATGACTTTCTTAAATCGACAAAAGTTTTTTTCAAAAACTGATCGATAACTTTATACAGTGAACTAAGCTATACAATGTTATTGGTCAGTTGTTGATAAATTCTTCTATAAAGAGTTACGATTGAACCCTGTTTTTCTCAAATCAAATGAAAGAATTGTTCAAAAATCAACCAATAATTTGTAGAAATTAGTTCGCTGTATAAGTTACTGGCAGGTTCTCTTTTTTTTTTAAAAAAAAAAAATTCTCTACAAAAAGTTTTGTCGATTTAAAAAAAAAAAAAAATCTTATACCGTAAAATGCATATACAAGATCCTCCAAAATAGTAGGCCACCATGAATTAGACCTGGCGGAATCTTTATTAATCAGATATGGTTTTTTTTCAGTTAATTAGACTCCTGTTCTAAATAAAAAGTATGTATACACTTTAAATTTTTTTCTTTTCATGATATAACCTCTCTGCCCGTTTATTACGTAATTTTTTAGGGGAGGGGGGAGGGTCAGCAATTTATCACGTCTATATACCTTATGATGGGTTATTGAGTTTATGGGACCTTCTAATAACGATAAAAAGAAATTACGTAATAAACGGCACACCCTAATCACGGCGCAGTATATCGAAATTGCGTAACAGTAAGTGTAACGGTAGTTATTTTATATACCTCTTTTGGATTGTCATGTCTGATATACATAACATAAATAAATGCATTTTTTTGGTTAATGACTTTCGTTATAGTTGAACTCTTATTGGTTAGAAGCACTGCATATATGCAATATTTGACAAATGTTTATATCAAATATTACTGTTACTTTATTTAGTGTCTATGAAATTATTAATTATGTATCGTGCAACGCGGCATGAAATGCATTTTTAGACAACTGAAAATCTAATGCATTGTTTTTTACCTTTTGAATTTCCACCTGCTTTTCGGCTCCTTGTTCATTCTTTCGATTTTAAGTTCTCGGTACTTATCAAAATAGCCGGTGGAAATGAAAAAAGTTTTATTTAATGGATTATATTACTCAATAATTTCTTATTTAGTCGGTGTAGCATTACTCATAGGCGTGTCATGGGCTGATTTTAATCCTAGCTCTTATAAATCAATAGAGGAGTGCGTGGCGGCAACCGGTGTTTCCGTTATATCAAAGAATGAACCTGGTTATAATGATGCAAGGGTGGGCGAGAGAGTTAGGTAAATTACTTATTATTCTATTGATGGCTAATATTATTAATTATTATTATTGTTATTGCTATTATTATTTATCGAAATTATATTTATCAAATTTAATAATTTTCTTAAAATTGTTTAAATTTATTTGATTCTCAAATTTCAATATAATTTCAGTTAAAATAATTTCACTCAACAACTCGATTATAAACTATAATTTATGTGATTAATTTAATTTATTTAATAGGTTTCAACAATATCCAAGGATGATAACTTATCCGAATAATACAACTCAAGTTCAACAATTAGTACTTTGCTCAAACACATTTAAGATCACACCATGTCCGAGAAACGGTGGTCATAGGTGAGCAATAAGATATAAAATTTGGTTTATTAATAAATGTACTGTATAAAACAATATTAATATCCTACTTATTAATAAATAACGATACATATATATCTGTATATATTAAATTAGCAATTCTGGCTCTTCTTCATTAAATGACTCTCTGGTTATCGATATTAGTAACATAAATTTTGTTAACATTGATACTGCATCGCAAACTGCAATAGTTGGTGGTGGAATCAGGCTTGGTCCATTATATATTCAACTTGCTCAAAAGAACTTTACTTTTATATCAGGAATATGTCCAACAACTGGTTTATCAGGAATTATCGCTGCTGGAGGTTTTGGTTTACAATCTCGAAAATATGGCGTTACTGGTGATTTGATACTTGAGGCTCAAGTAGTTACGGCTGATGGAAATATTTTAACTGCAAATAGTATTGTAAATGCCGATTTATTTTGGGCGATAAGAGGTGGTGGTGCAACTTATGGAATTATTACTCAATGGAAATTACAATTAATACCTGCTTGGGACGTAGTTTCTGTTTTCACCATTGAATACCCTTACGATTCTAATCTTTTTGCTTCTGTATTAAAATCATTCACGAACTTTGGTCACCTTGCTCCCAATGAACTTTCAACCACTCTTTATGTAACTAATACGAATTTTAAAATAGTTGGTCATTATTTGGGTAAAGATGATCAGATTTATGAAAAGTTGTTGAATGCCGGTTTATTATCCTTTAATGGATCTCAAATTGATGGCTGTGATAAAGAAACAGTTGAAAAGAAATTACTCTTACTCTGTGATCATTTAGGTGCACGTGCTTACTTCTTGGATCCTCAGAAAACTTGTAAAAGATATGATTTTCTTAATATTGGTACTTCTCCTTATGCATCAAATAGTCTTGCTTACGCCATTCAAAATGTAACTTATCCACCTGCTGCAACTGTTCCTGGTAATGTAACTCAAGGAGTACTTTCGGTATATCCTCCAGGTCCATTACAAGCTAGAGAAAATGTAAAAACAAAATCCATATACTTTGGTGGTCCCTTAAATGATACTGCTATCAATGTTATTATTGGACTTTTAAAACAGATGCCGTCAGGAACATTTGCTGAATTAATTTCTTATGGTGGATTACTTTCAACACAAGCTTCAAATATTACTGCATTTATTCATAGGAATGGTGTGGCCTATCACCTTCTTATACAAGCTCCTTCTACTTATGATCCTAAAACGAATGCATGGATCAGTCAATGGGATACTGATGTTAGACCATTTTCTAATGGTCAAAGTTATCAGGTGAATTGTTTTTTAAAATTAAAAAATTCTCTAAAATTCATTTTTCTCTTTCCATACTTAATCATTAATATTACATATGCTTCGATACAGGGATACGACGACCCAGATTTACCAAATTTTGCTCAACTATATTTTGGCGATAATTTTAAAAAATTACAAGACATCAAATTAAAATATGACCCTCAACAGGTATTCAGTCAATCATACCTTAATCCAAATACACAAAGTCCATCTTTATCCGATACATGTCCTTTTGCTCATAATGAATCATTACCCGCAAGACGTAGTTCTGGGAATAAAACGATTAGCTTAATAAATTTGGATAAAATTATAATTAGTTTATGGGTCATTATTGTATTATTATTAATATAGTAAAATTACCATTAGCACATTAAATGAACTTTTTATAATTTATATATGCATGTAATAATAAGTTAAATTGTTGTATATGTTATGTTGGCATAACAAAATATATAGTCACATAATTGCAAATTTAATAAATGTTGAATTATTGTTATATTTACATACGTATTTTGCATACATACATATATACATGTATCAGGTATATTCTTTATACTCACGTACTAAATATAAATACGTAGTAAATCTTCATGAACTTGGGTAGCTTAATTAAAGTTGTTATCTGCTTGATGTCCCGGCTCAAGCTGTATTGTGATGTGGATGTGGATTCAAGTCATGACTGGAACATGAATCTAAAAATTTGATATGCGTCAATAATTTGAGTTATGGTTTAATCTCTAAGCAGTAGCTCAGACTGCAGCTTTATTGTCTTGGCTTCATTCTGCAAAGCACTTCTAATTTACACTGTTCTCATAGATTCTAGAACAACTAATAAAAATTGACCGATGATTATTCGGCCGAATTCGATAAGTTTTTGAATTCGGTATTATTGGCATTGAATTTTCAGCATTACAGTAATATTGATAACGCCAAATTCAAAACTTTATCAAATTCGGTCGGATAATCATCTGCCAATTTTTATCAGTTGACAGCTGTAATGCACATTATATTCACATCATAAAATAAATTTGTAAACGTCTAACGTGGGTTACCTGTGTATAAACTATACTCTCTTCTTGTATGTTATAATGCCCGAGAAAAAAGCTAATGAATAGGCAACAATCGGAAATTCTTTTGGCGGGTGACCCGCGGGTTGACCACCCGGGTGGTCGCAACGCAACATAACTCAACCCAGGTCACCCGGGTGACACCTACCCGGGTCGGAACACTAGGTAATACATTTTTTATCACCCAGATTTGTGATATATATGATATGTGGTTATATACCATATTAGATATATATCACATTAGATTTTTAAAAGGCTAAATTCGACAAAAATAAATGATAAAACCTAAAGCCTTATTTCCTTTGTTATTTCTTACCATATAGCCGTCGTTTAACGACGGGCTCTAATTCTAGCTTTGATAAAAATTAGATAATCAAACCTGGGGAAAGATAAAGATACTGTAGTTTAGAATGTGATAAGGACAATGATGATAATGATTGGGCAAATCCCGGTAAACGGGATAACATGTTAGATCAAATGTAAACCCACCAACATGGCTCATTAAGGGTGCATATGTTTTTTTTTATTATATAAAAAAAATAAAAAATATATAGATTTGTTAATTTTATATTGTTGTTTCGGCAATAATTCTTTATTAAATAAATAAAGTGGTCTGGTAGGTCCAATTTTGATTTTAATGTGATCATGTAAATTAGTCAAAATTTAAACGTGTAAAATTGAGGAAAAATTTTAAAACTCCTATAATACTTATTTATTTTAGATTATGCCTGACTAAAATTTGGATGAGTTGATTATGGCTTTTTTCGTAAGATTATTGACCCAAATCTGCTTTTTGAGCTTTGTTTGGTACATTTACCTGAGTTGAATCTTTTAAATTCGTTTCTGGCAATTATAATTTGCTCAGATTTTAATTTATGCAAAAAATATATTAATAAAGTTTTTTTTACTTCATTATGATTATTAAGACGTACGCAGGAGAAGCAATGTATAAAATAAAAGCTGAACTTTAAACCAACTCGGTAAGCACAACATTAAAATCTCTTGCTAGACCACATCTAAGAGTAATATAATGGTTCCAATCCATTCGATACCAAATTTTGTTGTTATTCGAATCCCAATGAAAACATATGGTGCGCTAGTAGGACATGTAGATTGACTGGTTGCATGAGTTGTATTAGTTCCAGGGTTAGGATTAGTATGAAAGGGGTTTAGTCCAGTAGGAAGAGCTATTGCCACAAATTCAATGTTGGTTGTATTCTGCTGAAGCCAATTGATTTGTTTAAAGCATAGTCACGATTACTGCTAACATTGTAGAATACCTGAGATTATTTAATGAATGTTAATTATTAACTAAAAAATACTACCAGTCATATTTTTTAAAACAACAAAATTAATAAATTACTTCAATCTAAATATTAGGCTGTGGGCATGTATAGATGATAGGCATATGCCTTTGTGAACGTGTTGGTCATTAAAACCATATACCAACATCAGGTCTGAGATCTCTATTCCCAACTACACAAATAGTATTGCTACTTGTTAACCAATTTTGATTTTGATTCTCAAGAGAATTGTAAATTTTCTATAAATTAATTCTTTTTCTAAGTTATTATACTGAAATGATATAAAATTATTAAAATTTGAAAAAATTTTTATGTTTTTAAGCTACATAAAATCTCACTTTGATGAAGATTAAATCTAATTCTTTTGACATTGAAAGCATTGTAAATTTTTTCTATATATTAAGGTTGCCAAGTTTTTTAATAAGAAATTTGATCTTCACAATATTTGTATCTTGTCCCTTCAGCTCTTGTTCAATTTTATCACAAATTTTTAAAACAAAAAGACTATTGGCCAAAACCATTTTGCTTTTATTATTTTTTAAGTATTATTATATACCTTATCAAATTTGGATATATAGAAATTGAGCTACTCATTGATAACCTATTTTTATTTTTTGTGTAAATCTAAAAATTATTGAGTAATATTTTTTGACTGGCTATTTTAGAAAAATACCTAAAAGATTCTTTAAATCCTATGTTAGCAATAGTTGCTATATTAAAAATGTATGTTACAACATTTTTCAGAATCTAAAAAATAAGATAACCAAAGCAAACACTTAAAGAAACCAAGAAATAAACAGGACCAAACTAAAAATTATTATTACTTATTATTATGAAAATTCTATAAATATTTATCTAGAAAATACATACCACAATTTCAACAGTAATCACAAAAATAATTACTAAAAAACTTGCAACAATAATTATTAAATATATCAAAGATCAATTTTCAAGTATATTTTATATTCTTGTTATATTAAAATTTATATATAAGATTCAAAGATCATCAATTGATATCATTTTTATTAGCTCTTGCTTCAAAAATTATATAATACTACATAAAAGCTATCCTATTTGCATAGTTGTAAACTTTTAGAAATAATTAATATCTAAATTAAACAAAAAATAGTTATAAAAAAAATTATACTTTTATATATTTATAAAAACTTTAGTATTCTTATTTTGATCTTGTATTTCTTATATATTGTATTGTGCTAGGACCCTGAACAATCTACAAACAGCTAACAATTTGCAAAAATTACTAAAAATAGAAAGATTTGCAGAAAAAAGCCTGAAATAAGCAAACTAATTACTATAAATAGAAAAGATTAACAAAAAAATAGTTTGAAATAAGCAAACTAAAATCTTACCTGTCTATAGATTATTCAGAGTTCTATTGTGCTATACTTTCTTGATCTTGGTCTGTTGCATTATTTTAATTCTTTTTAAATAGATATTATATTTATATAAAATTAACAAAGAACCAATATAAAATAAAATAACAAGTAATTTGTTAAATATATATATATAGTGAAAATAATTTAATACTGTATTTTATAAAATTTTGAAATGATATAATACAGTACAAAGATATATATATACATGGGTGTCTAAATTACTTTTCTTAATAAAAAATTATTTTAAAATTTAGTCTATCAAAATTAATTTAATTGGTGATAAAATTAATTTTTATTGTTATCAAAATTCTTAATAAAATTATTTAAATTCTTTATAACAAAATATATTAGATAGTATAGCTACTTTGTAGAATTTATATTAAAAACTAACAATATTAAAATATTTGTCAAAATTACTTTTTTTAAAAATAATTTAGATATCTATATATAAATATATATAGCCAGATCTCTCTAAATACAACTTCTATAAATACAATATCTCTCTAAATGCACATTTTTGTCTTGGTTGTATGAAATCATTAATACTAAATACATGTTCTATATTCTGCAAATACGCATTCACTCAAAAGATTTTTTATATCATACTAACCTCTCTAAGTATATATAGCCAATCAGAAATTAGTATTTAAGTTTGTTATACAAGCATGTAAATCAAATATTAAAAGCTACAATTTGATTAGCTCTCTCTAAATACAAACTTCCCTAAATATATATTTTAGGCTGGTTTGTACATATTGTATTTATAGAGGTTTGACTATATAAAGATAATTTTATACTGAATTGTATAGAATACAAAGTAAATATTACAATTAGAGATAGTAAAGTTCCTAAGATTAGAACTTTAGAATCTGGTTTTAGAATCTGGTTTTTAAAAATTAAATTTTAATTTTAGAATCTAGGTTTTTAGATTTATAATAAATTCTTAAGTTTATAATAGATTCTTAGATTTATAACAAGTTCTTAGATTTATAATAGATTTTTAGATTTATAATAAGTTCTTAGATTCATAATAAATTCTTAAATTTATAATAGATTCTTAAAGAATAATAAAAAAAAGTATATTTATAAAGTTATATATTTATTTGAATTTGTATTTAAGAATATTTTAGAAAAAGTATGTATTTATATAGATATATTTATAGAGGTTTTACTATATTAGTTAGATCTAAATAAAAATATATTTAAAAAAGTATATATATAGAGAGCTGCATTTAGAGAGTCTAACTATACTATAAGCTTATATCTAATTTAAGTTCTAAAACCAAGTTTCAGAACCAAGTTATAAAATTTGATATATCTATACAATTTAAAATAGTTAATTTTTTTATAATCATAGAATATGTCCTAACCTTACAAGTTAATTTGTCTAATTTTATTAGATTTAAATTGTAATTATTTAATTGTTATCCTTTAATCTATAGAGCAGGAAAATTTGTCTGTATATATTTTTAAATTTTTAAATTTTTTAATAAAATTTTATATATTAATTTTAACAATATACTTTCTAAGCAATATATATTTTTAAAAACCTACTTTATTAACTTTGTTAAGAAACTTTTTTAAATTTATTAAAAAACTTTTAATTAATTAAAGTTTAAAGTTTGTATAACCTTAAAGTTTACTATTAAACTTTTATATATTCTCGAAGCTAGAAAAAATTTTTGCTCTTAAGACAAGTATCAATTTTTACAAGTAAATTACAAAATTTATAATAATTAAAATTGTAATCCTTTAATCATACTATAAAGTTGTATTAGAAACTATAGACTTAAAATTAATATTTAAAAAGTTTGTTATAGATAAACTAAAATATTTTTTTATTAAAAAT